CAATGCAATGCCATTTTTACTGAGATCATTTCAATAACTTAGCACTGTTCACCATTGAAATTTCTTCTATAAACTATCTTGGCACCAAAATATACAGATACCTGAAGCAGTCATAGTTTAAATTCAACCAGAAATGGTATGTCTGTTATTTTTTAAATGCTTTGGTTCAACAAATATTTCTAAAAATGTTAAAGAAATGATCAGGGCATCTTTAAAAATGTCCATTTTTGAAGGACAAAAATAAAGGTATTCCCACACTGCCTAACATGGAAAATTCACTTCATGGCAGTCAAAAGCCAGTTTTACACTAAATTATAACTGATTGAAACATTCTGCTTTCTTGGAGAAACTTTCAGCTACAAGAGGATCAAGTACAAGAGGATAAATACAAGTACAAGAGGATCAAGTACAAGAGGATCAGTACAAGATGATCCCCTGCTCTCCTCACCCATACGAATGTAGCCACATTTATACTTAGCTGGTTAAGGTGTCAACCAGACCTTGCTACGAGAATAGCCCATTAAACATGGTTTATAATATATGCAGCATGCTCATCCTCCATTCTTAACTAGTCAAAGAACTTTCCTGCTATCTATAGTCAAATAATTCAATGATTACAGCTCAGCAAAAAAAGCAAGGTGCCTGTGTGTCCACTAATAGTCAGGGAAAAGAGTAATCCAAATATACTTCATTAGCTAAAACTCTTTGTTTTTTAAATATTTCATTCCTGGGAAATCTGGTCTAAATTTTTCTGAAATTTCAAGCTTCTACCCCAAAACTTACATCAATGTACCTCAAAGTTAACCTTATCTGTGTCTCTGTGTATAGTCATGGAGGTTGTGCTTTGCACAGGGGTACCAATCACATTGTAAAAGTCATATATGTGAATACTTATAGTCACAATTTGTAATTTGGTAAATGACAGCAAGATGTGGGTTTCATAAATAAAATCAGTTTATTATGATAGTTTTCCAACTAAAAATAACAATGTTTTGAAAAAGGAACATAGTGTTTCCACTCACACTAAACACTGTACAGAGAAGCAGTAATTCTGACAGAAACCAATTCAATTCTGATAAATCAGATAAATTAATCACTTGATAACATATATATAAAACAAGGGGCAGGAAAGTAAAAAGTCTATTGAAAGGTTCTTACCAACAGAGACTAGAGTTAACCAAAACCCCCAACATTTCCCAGAAAAGTGACTTAAATCACTTCTTTCCAAGCTAAAAAAAAAAAAAAGCCTCATTATCCTATCAGTTTTGTCACAGCACATTTATAAACCAAGGAAACAGGTTACAGAGATTTCCTCACAGATAGCTTTTTTAATTAAAAAAACATACCCAACTATATCTAACACAAAATAAAAAGAAAAACTACACAAAAAGTAATTTAATTCCATCTGTATCTAGCTAAGAAATAGGATAAAGGGAAGGACAAAAATAAAGGTTTGGATTTTTTTAATATAAATAAAGGAAGAGGAACAGAAAGAAAGATTTAAAGCCAGGTGGGGGCTAAAGGAAGGGCAAGGAAGGAAAAGAGAGATACCAAAGAATAAAAAATCCAAAGATTTAAGTGTGTATTAATCTGTTTTCACACTGCTATAAAGAATAATTGAGACTGGGTAATTTGAAAAGGGAAAAGGTTTCATTGACTCACAATTCCATGTGGCTGGGGAGGCCTCAGGAACCTTACAATCATGGTGGAAGGGAAAGGGGAAAAAAGACATCTTCTCTAAGTGGCAGGAGAGAGAGAGCACGAGGGGGGAGCTGTCAAATACTTTTTTTGTCTTTGAGGCGGAGTTTCACTCTGTTGTGAGGCTGGAGTGCAGTGACGCAATCTCAGCTTACTGCAACCTCCGCCTCCCAGGTTCAAGTAATTCTCCTGTCTTAGCCTCCTGAGTAGCTGGGACTACAGGTGCATGCCACCATGCCCAGCTAATCTTTGTATTTTTAGTAGATAATGCGGTTTCAGCATGTTGGCCAGGATGGTCTCAATCTCTGGACCTCATGATTCACCTGCCTCAGAGCCCCAAAGTGCTGGGGCTACAAGCGTGAGCCACCGCACCTGGCCTAAACACTTTTAAACTATAATATCTCATGAAAACAGCATAGGGAAACCGCCTCCATGATCCAGTCCCCTCCCACCAGTTCTCTCCCTGACACATGGGAATTACAATTTGAGATGAGACTTGGGTGGAGACACAGAGCCAAACCATATCCTTCTGCCCCTGACTCTTCCCAAATCTCATGTTCTCTATATATTTCAAAACCAATCATGCCTTCCCAATGGTCTCACAAAGTCTTAACTCATTCCAGCATTAATTCAAAAGTCCAAGTTCAAAGTCTCATCTGGGACAAAGCAAATCCCTTCCATCTATTAGCCCGTAAAATCAAAAGCAAGTTATTTACTTCCAAGATACAATGGGGGTACAGGCGTTGGGTAAATGCACTCATTCTAAATGGGAGAAATTGGTTAAAACAAGGGATCACAGGCCCCATCCAAGTCCAAAACCTGGTCAGGCAGTCAATGAATCTTAAAGTTCCAAAATAATCTCCTTTTACTCCATGTCTCATATCCAGAGCACACTGATGCAAGAGGTGGGTTCCCAAGGCTTGGGCAGCTTCACCCTGTGGTTCTGCAGGGTACAGTCCCTGCAGCTGCTTTCATAGGCTGGTTCTGAGTGCCTGCAGCTTTCCCAGGCACACAGTGCAAGCTGTCTGTGGATCTACCCTTCTGGAGTCTGAAAGACAACAGCCCTCTTCTCACAGCTCCACTAGGCAGTGCCTCAGTAGGAACTCTGTATGGGGGCTCCAACCACACATTTCCCGTTGACACTGCCCTAGCAGAGGTTCGCCATGAGGGCTCCTCCCCTGCATCAGAATTCTGCCTGGACACCCAGGCATTTCTACATATCCTGTGAAATCTAGGTGGAAGTTCCAAAACTTTACCTCTTGTCTTTTGCACACCTATAGGCCCAACAACACCTGGAAGGTGCCAAGGCTTGGGGTGTACACCCTCTAAACAATGGCCTCAGAAGCAATGACCTTTGAGTTGTAACTTAACCCATTATAGCCACAGCTAGCATGGCTGGACAACAGGGCACCAAGTTGCAAGGCTGCACAGCACAGCAGGGCCATAGGCCATTTTTCCTTCCCATGCCTCCAGGCCTGTGATGGGAGGGGCTGCCACAAAAATCTCTGACATGATATGGAGACATTTTCCCCACTGTCTTGGCTATTAACATTCAGATCCTCTTTACTTTTGCCAATTTCTGCAGGAAGCTTGAATTTCTACCCAGAAAATGGGTTTTTCTTTTCTACCATTGGTCAGACTGCACATTTTCCAAATCTTTATGCTTTTAAACATAAGCTCCAATTTCAAATCATCTCTTTGTGAATACATATAACTGTACATTGCAGGAAAAGCCAGGTAACCTTTTGAGTACTTTGCTGCTTAGAAATTTCTTCTTTCAGATACCCTAATCATCTCTCCCAAGTTCAAAGTTCCACAGATTTCTAGAGCTAGAGGAAAATGCTACCAGTCTCTTTGCTAAAGCATAGCAAACACAACCTTTGCTTCAGTTCCCAGTAAGTTTCTCATCTACATCTGAGACTACCTCAGTCTGGACTTCTTTGTCCCTATTACTATCAGCATTTTGGTCAAAACCATTCAACAAATCTCCAGGAAATTCCAAACTTTCCCACATCTTCCTGTCTTCTTCTGAGTCCTCCAAACCGTTTCAACCTCTGCCTGTTACCCAGTTTTAAAGTCGCTTCTATATTTTTGCTTTATCTTTATAGCAATACCCCATCGTCTTGGTACCAATTATCTGTATTAGTCTATTTTCACATGGCTATAAAGATACTACCTGAGACTGGGTAATTTATAAATATCAAAAGGAAAAAAGGTTTAATTAACTCACAGTTCTGAAGGGCTGGACACGCCCCAGGGAACTTACAATCATGGCATAAAATGAAGGAGAACAAGGCACGTCTTCTCATGTCAGCAAGCAAGAGTGAGAACGTAAGGGAGGAACCACCAAACAGTTTTAAACCGTGAGAACTCACTCTCTATCATGAGAACAGCATGGGGGAAGCTGCTCCCATGATCCAACCACCTCCCACAAGGCCCCTCTCCTGACTCATGGAATTACAATTCAAGTGAGATTTGGGTGGAGACACTGAGCCAAACCATATCAAAGTGTGCAGCAATAAAGAAAGGACAGACATGCAAAAGAGATACCCAAAGAAAAGAGAGGTGAAAAGATCGAAAGAGAGGTAGCGGAAGTTCTTAGGTGAGTGGTGATTAAAGAACAAACTTATTCGGTTCTGCTTTATTTTTCCTCGGCTTATAGGAAAAGCTACTTTGGCATCTAAATGCATCTGACCCACTCATCTCAGCTTTTTAGCTATTCAATATTCCCACACATTATGAGATTTCTTTTTCAGTAATTCAATGGAAGTGTAGCTGTTCTTTTATCAGTTTTAAGGTAACCAAATAAAATGAAGCCAAGACAAAAAGATAAGAGTAACCTACTCTCCCTGTGAGAACCGGAAGGTTTGCTGTTATGTGGACTGATGTGGACTGACGAAAAAGATGGCAGAGGTAACATTCTGATTCCATAAAGAAGTATGTTCAATAGAGAACAATTAAAACCTATCGTACCTAGCTATAGCAGAAAGAATCCACTGGGAGTCATTTAATTTATTTTATGTATGCAACATGGAATGATTAGATCAAGCTAATAGTATATCTGTCATTTATTTCAATCATATAAGTGAGCGATCAAGGGACATCTTGGTCAGATACCTTAGAATATTGTTTTAACCAGTTTGTTATTTATTAGTATTTCCAAAGGCTCCAGCTTGAATATGAAAAGAATAACCACCATGGTCACTCCACAGCTCACTAATTTGGACACAATACTCCACACCCTCTTCGAGTCTGAAACACGCAGAGTATCTTCTAGTAACAGTTTGTCTCATTCTCTGCAGTGCTCCTATATACCTAAGTGTGGAAAAAACTTTGAAGAATCCATGTCCCTGGTGAATGTTGTCATGGAAAACTTCAGGAAGTACCAACACTTCTCCTGCTATTCTGACCCAGAAGGAAACCAGAAGAGCGTTATCCTAACCAAACTCTACAGTTCCAACGTGCTGTTCCATTCACTCTTCTGGCCGACCTGCATGATGGCTGGGGGAGTGGCAATTGTGGCCATGGTGAAACTTACACAGTACCTCTCCCTGCTCTGTGAGAGGCTCCAACGGATCAATAGATAAATGCAAAAGTGGATAAAATGATTTTTGTTAAAGCTCAAATACTGTTTTCTTTCATTCTTCACCAAAGAACCTTAAGTTTGTAATGTGCGGTCTGTTATGAGTTCCCTAATATATTCTTATACGTAGAGCAATAATGCAAAAGCTGTTCTATATGCAAACATGATGTCTTTATTATTCAGGAGAAGAAATAACTGTTTTGTGTCAGTTGGTGGTTTTCATAATCTTATTTCTGTGCTGGAACTAGTACTTTCTTCTCTCATTCCACCAAAATAGGGCTCAGTTATTCATTTGCCAAGCTTTGTAAGGAATGTAGGTGACATCAATGTGATAAAGTCTGTGTTCTGAGTTGTCTTGAAAACAAAATTTTTTATCACTCATCGTTTACTAAAGCTACAGCCAAAAATATTTTTTTCTTTTCTTGTTCTAAACTGAGCCCTATAGCAAGCGAAGGGACCAGATTTCCAAATTAAAGGAAGTTAGGTGCTTTCCTTGTATTTTTTACCATATCACTGTAAAGAAGAGAAGAAACCCAGCCAGCTACTCTTTTTCCATCACTTTTTATTTATAACTTTAGATTTTTAAAACTAATTTCCAAAATATAAGCTGTTTTCATTAGCCAGTTCTATAATATCTTCCCATGATTTATGTAGAAAATGAACAGACCCCTTTTCCACTTAAGACCCTGCTACTGTGTGAAGAGACGATACTTATAAGGAGTATCATTACCTATGAGCTGACTGAATCTTGGTAGGTGCTCCATTACAATCCAGACAAGTCTGTGTTACTAATATTTGTGTGGAAATCCTTATTTCATTTCAATTTAACTGTTAGATGGTAAAATTAAGATGCTACTTGCTGGTAAAAATTGGTGGACTGATTTCATTGGGTAAATCTGTTGTGGCAAATTGATGTGTTGGAATATTGCTCTTGGGAGTTTATGTTTAAGTTAATGAATGTGTAGTATCTTCTTCTGACAACTGTTCCCTATTGGGATTTTAAAGCTATGTGCACAGAATATTTGTCTCTTCTACATGTTTTATTTTTCTATTTACGATTCCCTTTTTGTTGATATATTTTATACACTGAACAGATCTTTTTTCTAACACATATTTGAACTGAATAACAGACATAAAGCCTTTGTTCACATTGCTATTTACTTACTGTGTCTGGGGGAAAATAGGTGGGATTGATTTCAAATAAAAACATTCCATCTTTCATTTAATATCAATATAAAAAGAAGAAGACAAACATCTATCTTTCTCATCTATATTTAAGTACCTTTTTGTAATGTAGTATCAAAGTTTTTTAGGTATTGCGAAATTTTACAGTCATTTGTGGAATGAATGGTAAAACTAATCTGATGAAGTGGAAAATTATTCTGCAATATTGTAATTCATAGTTTGACTTTTCATAAGCAAATAAATCCCTAGGATGTAATCAGGACTTCAAATGTGTAATTAAAAATTTTTTTAAAAATCTAGTAAATTGCAAGATTCGAATACTTCTTGCATTCTGAGCTGACAAGCCTATGGTATTCCAAAAATTGGTATTTCACTATTTTTAAAGGTATTTTGAGTGATTACAAAGAAAGTTTCTTAACACCCAAACACATACGTATAACGTTGTGACCATTTGAAAATAGGATGAAAAACTCTTTTATTTCTACTCCACTTAAAGAATATAATTCTGAAGATTCTAAGGAAATATTTGAGACTATAGAGCTGAAAATGTGCCGTCCTTAATGTTCCTTAGGCTTCCCTCTGAGCGATCCAACAGTGAAATATATGTGAGTGAAATTATCAGATGGATTATTTTTACTTAACTCTGAATTTTTATTAAAATTCCCAAATAATGTTTAAGATAACAATGTAGAAATTTTTAAATAATGACACCAAAAAGAGATTAACTGGTGCCTTCTAGAATCCCAATACAGCAACAGCCCCTTCAAATAATTTAGATATATACACAATTAATGCTCATTATTAAAGGAGAAAGATCTAGGACTAATAATAATGTTTTAAATGCTTTGCACGTTAACTAACTTAATCGTTTAATAACCCTATCGGAGGAGGTATTATTATCTCATCCTCCAGATGAAAATGTTGAAGCTAAGAGATGTTAAATAATTTCCCCATGTACTAAGATGGTGAAGAGGTAAGAGGATAGTCTGTAGCTTTCCTGCTATGGTGGCCATTTCCGTGATTTTGGAATCTTTTAGATAACACTGGGGATGCTGAGGCTTGGAAAAAGATCATAGGAGTGAAGAAAGAACATGGGACTGAAAGTCAAAGACTTCACTGGAGATAAGGTGACGGGTTTTTAAAGTTCTTTAAAAGAACTTTAAAACTTTAAAGTTCTCAGTTAGTCTCTTGACTTCCTTGGCTGTAAAATGAGGAGGTGAGGTCAGCTGATCACCAAGGTCCCTTTTAACACTCACGGTCCATCCCAGGCATGTGAAAGGAGGAACGAATACCATTTATTAACTTCAGAGCTCAGGTGTGATTCTCAAACAGAATCTGTGTATAGCAATCTGTGGATTAAAAAACCTCCTTTCCGTTGATATTCCCAGTAAGTCTTTCCTTGTTAAGCCCTAAAGCTGCATTTCCATCTGCTAGAAGCAGAGCCCTGATCTCCATATTATTCAACAAGAATGACTTCCCCAAATGGTATAAACGTCTACACTTCCAAATCACTTCCATTATCCAATTGGCACATGCCATCTAAAACTTTATTGATTTTAGATTCTCTGAGTTGCAATTGTATTAAAACCCAGAAGTGGCAAATGCACCAATGATTGCTTTCAAATCGCTATAATAAAATACATGATTCTGTAGAAAGCTACTGGCGAAACACTAGCTGACGGTAATGACAGTGTAGCCATCATAAAATGCCTTTTATGTAGACCACGTGACATTCAGGGTTCCAGCAGGCTACCCTTTCCCATTGCTGTGAATGACCAAAAAATGACTATGTATGGCATTTATAAAACAAGTATTATTTTCAGTATGTCAAGCCATAATTTTCTTATCGTTTCTGTGGGTGAAATATCTTAACACTGTAATCATTCCACTGGCATTTAAAGTGAGGCCAGCAGGATAGCAAAACAATATGAGGAATTGATTCGAGTGAGTTAAAACAATCATTTTAAAGGAATGGTTTGTTATAACACAAGAATAGCTAAATTTCCCTTCTCCTCCACCAAGCACTGAAATAAACAGTGTTCAAGCAAGAAAGGGGGTTCTCATCATCCATATAAGGAAGCAAGGATGATTGAAGGTAGACACTGTTCCTTCTCTTCTTAACTTCTGCTCTTTTCTCTCCCCTTGTAAAATACTTTAGTAAGAACAGTCACAGCTCTACAGTAACCACTTTGATGTATGGGCCATATGGGAAAGTACACTCAGGAAACAGTTTCAGGGCTCCTCAGAAAAGTTTGTCAGCATGATGTGCGCAGCAGGACTGAACAAATAACCTCTGTACTGAATCTGTTCTGCCCTTCCATATTTGAAGTAACTGTAAGAAATAATACGAAGTATACAACACTGCCTTATATTTAAGAATATAAGAATGCCTTTGGAACCAACTAGAAGGGTCACCGAACACACACGAAATAAAAAAGAGAACAACAGTTAGGTATCTAATCCACATGGCTGGGGATAATATTTACAAAGTATTGGTATGGGGCTTAAATGGCTTATGTATGTAAATATCAAGCATTGTATAAAGTACTTAATAGGCTTAATAGTAATAATAGCAGTTATTATAATAATAAATGTACATATGGTATTAGTAGACCCACTAGTAGTATATAGTCTCTTGAAGCTAGAATAGCTCTCGAATGTCTTTTTGCCCAAAACACACATCAATAAATAAATCCCTTCTATAAGATCTTAAGCAGGAATTATCTAGCAATAGAAATGGTTACTACCTGCCAGTGATGGGTTAGGTCACCACTTCATGATTTCAACTTGTTGAAATCTGTCTCCCTGTAATATCTACCCACAAAATCTACACAAAATAAAATCAATACTCCTGCATAGAATTATTTTATTTATGTTATTTTATTGAAATGGAGGAGGGAATGGGGAAGAGCAATTTCCATTTGTTTCAAACATAAGACCATGAAAAATAGCCGATTCAGATGTAATTATGACATAAAGGGAAATTGATGAAGGTAGCACAGAGGATATCAATTTTAAAAGGTTAAGAATATATCCACTAGAACCCAAATGTTCATGTATGAATTAAACTGATGAGCTAGCTAAATCCTTCTGATGTCTGTTCGTTTTCATCATGCACCACCTCTTAAATATGACTTGACCTGAAAAATAACACTGCTGAAACTCTACATTACATTCTCATTCAACTTAATGACAACCAGATTCAGAATACTTGAGAGCATAGCAGTGCTCCTAACAAAATGTTACTATAATCGCCATGGGTTTGTCTTGGCTAAGGTACTATGAATTCTGCAGTGCAATGCCAAGGCTTTGGAAGAGAATGTCAGTCTGTGAACTTCAGTTGTGATTTTGTGATAAGTGTTTCATTTAGATGGAAAAAGAAGTCGTTCTCTCAAATAATATAATCACTTAATTAGGGCTTCCAGAACTGTTCCTTAACCTTAAGACAAATTTAATCTCCAAGCCCTTGCAAGGTGTAGTATGACTGGTTACCAACATAGTATATTAAGAGACCATAAAGAAAGCTTCAGTCTTCTACACCCTCTACACAACTTCACCAACTAGTATATTAGCATTACTAAAAAATTATTTAGGAAGCAGACTCCACTTCTCTTCATAAAAACCTCTCTTCCCCACTGCCCGCCTCAGCTGTTTTCCTTCTTTTGACTGCATTTCTCATCGCATACCAGCAAAGATCATCTCAAGCAACTACATGTTCACAAAACCCCTATTTCTATACAGTAGGAGAAAACCCCAGTATTAATACAAATTGGCATATATAAGTTGGCATTTAATATAAATTAATTAAGTTACTATAAATTGGCAATTAATAAAAACTGGCAAGATACTAAGTTGCGAGTTCTCTGTGTATCACTGTCCACTACTGGGCCCACCAGTGTGGCTCAGAGGATAGTAAACTCCTTTGGGCCAGACTTACAGCATAACATTAATGCCCACTTCTGTAGTGATGGGCAGGGCATGTAATTAGCTGCCACACTAAGTGAAAGGTCAGATAATTCCTCAAAGGTCAACTGGCGTGTGAAAAGAACAGAAGAAGGGGTTCTGGGCAGGCAAGAGCAGCAGATGTCCCCTACAGGAAATGTGAAACAAACTCACACCAGATTCTTGTCCCAAAATCTTCTCCCAGATTTCCGGTGAAGGAGGAAAAGAATACCAAATATATGGGAAGGAAAGCAAGTATTACTGAAAGGCTAAAAGAGCAAAGAGCCAGTGCTCAACTTTTACTTTGCAATTTTTCCATGCATGACTCACTCAGTAAGCACACAATTAACTTAAAAGGGGAAAGAAGTATTTCTGATTTTCACTAAGAGAGAGACGCAGGAATATTCTGATTTTAGCAGAAGACAAGAAGTTCCCTTAGAAAAAGATGGCAGGTAACTAAAGAAATTGATTCGTTAATTGAAAAAGATTGCTGAGGAATTGGATGAAAATGCAATGTTGTATTATCAACGTTTTGCATAACTGGCAAGAGATGAAGTTACAAGTGGGAAAAAAAGGGATCAAACAGTCAATCTCTTTTTTAAAGCAAATACTTGGGTGTTTGAAACTCATCAATAATGGCAAATAAGAAAATGTCTTCATAGAGAAATATTAACCAGAGGATTCACAACTGATATAATAAGAACTTACAGTTAAAGGAAAACTAATTTAAGAGAAGGGAAAGGAGTGACAATATATGAGGAATGATTCTGAATTTTAATAATCTAATTTAAGCAACCATTACTATTCACCAGATACTAAGGAAATTCTCTCAATTTCTTAAGGCTGTTGTCCCTGGGGTTGAGTAATACCTATTTGTTCTTCACAGATTCAATTGCCCCTTCCCTGCTTATTTTTGAGCAAATCAACATTCAGGAGCATGAAGAAGATGAAGGAATGAATTCTCCTTCTTCCTACCTCTTAAGTTTTTGTCCCACATCATAACATTTAAGAAAGTAAGTACTCCTTGGACCATCCAGTGATATTTCTTATCACAGATAAATCAACAGAAAGCATTACTCACCAGCTGGAGCCCCACCTGCTATCTGCAACACTGTGGCTATTTCCACAGCTCAGCATCCATAGGATAACCTCACCTAAAGTCTGCCCAAACCCATCAGCCTCCTCTAGTTAGAGAATCACCAAATCTCAACCCTTTTACTTGCTACATTAAAATTCTAGCTGTTTCTACAAGGCAGCTGCAAACTCTGACACTTAGTTCCTTCTCATGGTGAGCAAACAAAATCGGCTCTCCCTGTGCCTTCTTGAGCATGACAGAAGTATCATTTTGGAAGAGCTG